ATTTTAAAATTATCCACACAGAAAGGAATTAGACTATTGTACTTTCAAAAATGAGAATATTCTCCTGGAATGAAATGACATTATTTCAATAGACTTGCCACATTCTTTATGTATGTTTTCTATTATTTTTCCCTCAGCATCAGAAAGATATACATTCCTCCTCCTGCTGTCCCCCTAAACTCTTTAAATACTGTCACTGAAATACCTTTGTTTCTTTCCTTTCCTGGTATTCTAAGATTTACTTATAATCAATAATAATGGTGCAGAGAGTTTTTTGGCCAACATTTTAGAAGTCCAGGATACAGCCTAATCTGATTTGCCAACTTAAATATGACACTTTAGTGTCTGCTCTTTAACGTCTACCATAATTATCACCATTATAGGAAAATATTTTATCACTATATGAGATTTTCTCATCTGTCAAAATATTTCTGCATAGCACCTAGAAAAAAATATTCTTACGGTCTTGAAATATTCAAAATTTTCTGTCTTAATTCTTTCTCTAAATCAATGTGACTCAATTATTTTTAGCTTTATGAAATTAGGTCTTTTAAAAGCACTGCTATATACTTATGACATATTTGGGCTTCCTTCTGTTAGCGCATTATAAATGTAATCTATCTATAATCATCTAGGTAGTTTCTCTCTCAGGCCGGACAGTTTCATCAAATGGGTGATATTATGTTAACCTTAACAATGCCTTCCACTCAAGCAGGGAAAGACTAAATCCTAAATTTACAGATGTTAACACATTCTCAAGAAGATAAAAATTTTATCATATAGAATGCTCTTTTGGATATTTTTCCAAGTACATGGCTATTTAGCAAATTTAAATAGCATTGGATTGGACTGGAAAGATAAACTGAGATTACTTTTTGAGGCTTATACCAACAAATAAGAAGAGGGAGAGAGTAGGCTGCAGGAAGGGAGAAGGTGGCTGGTGACCATTCATGATCTGTTGTGAACTGACAGATGTGTCAGACAAAGGTAAAGATAATGGAAAAAAAATGATAATTTTGTGCAATACAGACTTTGCATATAGGCCCCACTTAACACTGTTCCTTCAATCACAAGTAACCAACAGGGTGGACAAGTGATTAAAAGCACAAGTAAATAAAAATCTGCATCCCTTGACATCTTGAAAAAACACACAGATGTAATATCTACATAATTATTGTTCTTTAAAATGGACCATGCTCCAAATGGGAATGTGAAATGACATTTACTTGTTCGTAGTTTTAATAACATATGCAGATATTGTATAATGTGTGTCAAATGCCATTTGGCTCAGTAGAATCTGATTAATCTTAGTTCTTTCCACTGTATCTTCTGTCATACGTAGTCAATAATATGTGTATGCTGGGGAAAATTTCCGTAGCTGTCATAGTTACCTTGAGAAACATTTACTTTCTCTAACAGTCCTTGTTTCTTTAACATCAGCAACAGGCCTCTCTCTTTAAGTAATACCAAAACTTCAGTTTTAAGAAAAGGGAGAGAAGAGAGAATTATCATTGACTTCAGAGAATAGATAAAGTGCTCAGAATCTAAAAGAACTAGGCTCTAACATAAGAAATTTGATTTTCTTTTCCATGACTGTTCTACAAATAGAGAGCCTGGTTGCCTAAAACAAACTATGTTACTGGCACAGATGATACGATTTAATTTATCAGCACAGAGACACTGTTAGCATCTTGCTGGAATCCTGGGTTCAGAGTTAAGACAACAGGGATTTGGTTCTATTTCTCTTGTATAACCTTCTGCAAGCCACTTCACTGGGTCTTCATTTTCTATGTTAAAAAAAAAAAAAAAAAAAAAAAAAAAAAAAAAAAAAAAGAGGCTCTATCTTTCAAAAGCATTCAGTGACTTTGGAAATCTGGAAATCCACATCTTACTAAAAGTCAGTACTACCAGGGCTCCTGATTCATCTCAACACAACAGGAAAGCGTAACCCAATTTCACTTATTTCTAGAGATCTTTGGTATCTGTGGACCATAACGAACATGAAAGAGTTAACCTACTCTTACATATCCAACTTTACAATCAGTGACAGTTGTAAATCATGAGTAAAAATGAACTTCTGTATTTAAATTGTCACTCCATCTTTATTAACGCGTTCTATTATATTAAACTATTGAAAAACATCTTAGAGCAGAGCACAATCCTATGTACTGTAATGTATTTTGAAATGAACACTCACAATGAGCTGAAAAACTAGTAGGGGTCTGTCTTTAAATATTCCCAGGTTTTGACTTAAACCGACAAAAGCAGGAATTATTTTATTTTTAATGTATCTTTTCTTTTCATTTCCACCAGGGTACTGTTTGAACTGTAATGTAAAATGAAAAACCTTTTACCATCTTTCTGTATTCAAAACCTAAATACACAAAGCTGTAACTATCCAGCTGATCTATGAGGAGCTTACAAGCTGATTCACATTTTCTAGTCATTCAAAGTCCTTAAAATTGAACGAAAGCAATAAGGTCTGTGTACGTGTGTGTGTGGATACAAACACATATATATATGCAGACATATATATATATAACTGTAAATATATATAAATATACCTGCAGAGCAGGTCAACAATAACAATGTCTTTCTATTGCCAGGTACAGATTTTGTTTTGATAATCCAGCAGGAATCCTAAAATATGTACATCTATAAACTTTGTGCATTATAGGGATCAAAGATGTGGCTAATCAAAGCATATTCAGATTGGTATGTGATAGAAGTACTCAGTGTTGACTTGCATTTTTGATAAAAGACTAATTTTAACCTGGACTTCTACTTTCAGACATAGAAAGTCTTTGGAGAATTTCTCATTTGTCTTAGTGATGTGCAAGAACCTTGAATAAGAGCACCCTAAATAGAGACCTAGTGAGGTGATCTGGAGCAACAAGATTGGATAAAAGTACTTTTATTCATGCCTTCTCTAAAGAAACGAACTGAGATTTATGGGTAACAATCAAACAGTAACAAATGGTAATCAAGATTTCCATTCTCCATGGTAGAGTTTGTTGATGTTCACTTCCCTACACAATACATACAGATCAGGAATGGAACAGAGTCAAACCCAGCCAAACAAGAATAAAGATAGAGAAACCATACACAGACAGTTCTCACAAGCCAAACAACACTGTTAGGAAATTAGAGGCCCTGGTAAGATATTTTTATATGAATGTCTGAACTCCTCAATGTTAATCTAAAGCAGTAAAAACATCAAAGGCTTAAAGAGTCATCCACTTACTCCTAGGAATTGCAGAGACACATTTAACTCCTAAGAACAATGTCACAAGAACATTAAGAGTCAGTCATGAGTAGTCAATGACTTCAGCTTTAAGCCATATGAATTTCTAATGTCAGTCATCAAAACACTAACTGTCTTGAAATTATTTCTAGGATGCAAAGAAAAAAAAAGAAAAGCCATATTGAAATTGTTTGAAGAAGTGAAACCCTGCATCAGTCATGGCCTGCCAGAAGCTATTTGACCAGGTTCAACTACTAGGAAGTCTCTTTCACTGCTCATTTATTCTGCCTTTGCCATGCCTATTGATGTCAAGTGTGAACCATGAGAAAGTTTAGAAAGCCAACAAACAAGCTGTAAACAAGTGACTGAGGTAGAGCTACATGTTTTATTGCTGGCCTCTTGCATCAGGCTCAGAGTCTGGTGTATTAAACTGCCTTGCACAGTTATACTGTGCACTGATTTATAGTGTTTATGGCAACCAAAATTAGATGACTGTACAGTGTAAAAGAATGTCAGCCCTGCATTACAATCACTGTGTCTTGCTCCATCTGAGTGATTTACAGGAAAACACATTCTGTCATCAAGCATTTTTTAATTTTTTTTTTTCTTTTCAGGAAATTTGACTTCACTTTTGTGTTAAATGATGATTGCTCGCAAACTGGAATGGGTGAGCAATTGTGAATGCAACAGAAGCTGAAGCCCTTGGAGCTTTTTAATTTTATTTTTAGTATAAAAACAATTCCATTTTTAGATGGATGTGCACTACTAGTGGGAGGAGAAGGAAACAATGAACATGAGAAATGGAGTAGGTGAATATAACAGGATCCAATATTCTGTGCTTTACAGTTGATCAAAAACTTAAAGATGAATACTCTGGAACCAAAAAAGTGTTAATTTAAAACAGAAAATGTTATTAATGTAGATACATGCTTTGCTGAACAGAAAACTTTCCTGATAATAAACTTCAGGTAAATCACAAGGACATCTTTGTTTTGATTATGAATTGGATGCATTCTGATTTAATTTACTATTCCAGCCCACTAAGTCTTATTCTGATTTTCATATCTGTCATCTGAGATAGCCTCTGAAGTATTTTGAAGTTTCTGGTCCAAATTTTAGAGTTTTGATTGACCAGAAAGTTTTAAGACCAGAAGTCAGAAAGTTAAATGGAAAAAGTTTTTTGTTTGTTTGTTTGTTTTGTTTTGTTTTCCTAGCAAGAACAGAACACTTAAAGAACCAGAAAAAAAAAAATAATAATAATTACACTTAGTCTACAGGCAAATTGTCTTTAAGCAGGGAGAGCTGAATTCTTTGACCTCTGCAGAAAACAGAGACAAGGTTTCTTACACCTCTCTATTACTTTATGCAAACATACATGGAAATAGGATGATCTAGCCCTCCAAAAATCCTCCCAGGGAATACTCAGCCTATTTTCACAGAGGATGTTTGTCCTGGTTTCAGTTAGAACAGAATTTAATTTTCTTCCTAGTAGCTGGTGGAATGCTGTGTTTTGGCTTAGGATGAGAAGAGTGCTGATAACACCCCGATGTTTTAATTGTTGCAGAGCAGTGCTTATACCAAGCCAAGGACGTCTCAGCCTTTTGCTCTGTCCTGCCAACGGGCAGGCTGGGGGTGCAGTAAGAGCTGGGAGGGGACAGACCCAGGACAGGTGACCCAAACTAGCCAAAGGGGTATTCCATACCATCTGACGTCATGCTAAACAATATATAGGGGTGGCTAGCCGGGGGGAGGGGGCCGGACTGCTCGGAGTTAGGCTGGGCATCGGTCAGCGAGTGGTGAGCAATTGCATTGTGCATCACTTGTTTGTACATACTATTATTACTTTCCTATTATCACCATTGTATTATTATTATTATTATTGTTATTATTATTTTGTTATTATTATTTTCCTGTCTTATTAAACTGTCTTTATCTCAACTCACGGGCTTCACTTTCCATTTCTCTCCCCCGTCCCAGAGAGGGAGGGGGGAGGGTGAGCAAACGGCTGCGTGGTGTTTAGCTGCCAGCCGGGTAAAGCCACGACAATGTTAAAGAGATTAGAACAGCCTGCTGGTGCTGCAACACAGAGCTGATTTTCTTTGAAAACAAAATAAAAAAAATAAAAAAGGTAATATATTGTCACTACAATGCCTAAGATAACACGCTGCATTTGCACAATGAACAGTATCTGGGAGTTGCTTCCCAAATAAATATTCAAAGTTATTTAATTGACAAATACATCCCTTAAAGGAGAGTGAGATCTGCCACTGCCTCTGCAAGGTGAAACCAATTAAATTTTCCACTGTTACTATCAGAAAGGAATAAAAGAAACCCAACAATAAGAGTAAAATGCAATTATAAATATTTTATGACAAAGGAAACACCTGACAAAAAGGAAAAAAAGTGTAAAATTTTATGAAGAAGAAAAGTATGTCTGCTTCCCTAGAAGAGATAGTTTGAATTGTGACTGGAACTTATAGGTCTCGTTAGTGAGACGGTTCTTTTATGATAACCTATTTTTTATTTTTATAGAAGACAGTAGTAAGAAAAAGCGTATACACATTTAGGCACATCAATGAAGGGAGAGTATAAGAACACACATGGCCACTGCAGACAACTGATTCCACAGGAAGCACTTTGTGTCTTCTTTATGTTATAAATTCTGACTCAATTTAGCTTTATAATATTTATTTATGGGGTCTATAAAAGGCAAGTAAACAGCGCTGGGTGTGTGGGGAGTATGGGCTCCTCCAACACACACACACACGTTACATCAGGTGTCTGGTTTTTATGTTCCTAGGCTAATACATATTCATTAGTACTTCTAGAAAAGGCAGGGTTATTATAATTAGTTCCCAGAATCTGAACCCTCCCACTGGCACATGAGTACCAGTCTCCAGTGGTCCCTCTGGAGGTCTCTCATGCTGAAGAGTCATAGTCTTCCTCCCAGGCTTTGTCTTTTTCCTTCTCCTTTGTCCATCTTGGCCGGACATCAGAGACTAGCTCAGTGTCCCCAAGCTTTGTCTTTTAGTTGTCCTTCAGCTTTCCCCTTCTCCTTAATCTCTTGGACAGATATCAGAGACTTGCATAATGTAATAGTTACAATAGTTAGCAGTTAGTCTGAAACCCCTTTGTTCTCTTATCCCCAGATATCAGAGACAGGGTTTACCCTTCAAGCCCTCTATGAATATGGGTGGACATGAATAGCTGGAACATTCCTTACATTTACAAGCATCTTTTTGGATAATGGATTAGACAGACCATTGTCTGATTCTGTTCATATACAGCTTGATTTACTTCAAAGCATCTAAGAACACTAAAATAGAAAAAAGAAAAAAGAAATAAAATAGAAATAAAATAGAAAGGTATTAGAGAGACTTCTTCACCTCCTCTTGAAAGGGGGGGAGTATAAATGTTTATAATATTTCAGTTTGAAGAAAAAGATTAACCTTTGCTTTCAGTCAACCTTGATATGGGTATTTATCAGTAAAGAGAATATTTCTTTTAGAAATTTCAGCACTGTTCAGCAAGTTATAAGTAACTAAATCTCATTTGGTGATGTAGTTGTTGAGCCTACGGTTGGTACAAATCAGGATAGGACAGAGGGACCAAAGTAATAGTCTACTAAATAGCACCCCATTTCATTACTTGCACCAGCATCCATTCCCATCACAGAGCATCCCTACAAAATGTACCAAAATCCTGCCATCCTAGATGTTCTGCTGCTTAAAAAAAAAAAAAAAAAAAAAAAAAAAAAAGGAAGATAATGTCAGGATGAAACATATAAGAGCATATTCCTCAAGAGATTTCCCAGTTGCTGCTCTTGTCTTTCTTCATCCCATACTGACAGGAAGTGTGCTAACAGCAGCCTGGAATGGATTACAGCAGTATTCCCACACTGTTCATCAGCACTTACCTACCCTCAAGATCCTTAGGTAGGCAGAAAAGCATAACTTCCTTGCCCTTTACTAGGTACTTTTAACAGTGATAAGACCGGCATTGTTTTGATATCTGACCACTTGGACGTGAGTTGGTAGGCAGAAAAGCATAACTTCCTTGCCCTTTCCTAGGTACTTTTAACAGTGATAAGACCAGCATTGTTTTGATATCTGACCACTTTGATGTGAGTTGGTTATTTCCAGCTGACCACCAGAGAAGATGACAATTTACAGTAACTATAAACATGAATGGTATTGGAGACAGTGATAAGTTAAAAGTTTTAACTTAGTCATTTATTACAAAAGTATGCTTCCCAGTGCCAGCCAGCACTGGCTACTCTTTTTCTCATTACTTCTTTCAATATACAGGCCTATGTTTTCCCCTAAGTGCCTTATTTTGTTCCAGCTCCTACTGATTGCAGTGAAGCCCAAATACATTTTTGACCCTTTTTATCCCCCCACCGATTTTTACTATTGTATCCCTGCAGCTTTCAGACTACATTTTGAAAACTGAATTTGCCTTGAAATGCAACAAGGCAGAGCCCCAGTAATGGGAGATCTCCTCATCCGTACTGGACCTAGTCCTTCAGAGACATAAATCAGGATGTACCTGTTGCTATCTAAAGACTAGGCCTATAAACAATACAACTGTGACCTAGCTGTTCCTCTTTCTCTGTGCTAAATAGTTACAAACCTGCATGCACTGTGTGCATATCTATGTGCTAATACATCACCAGCATATCTTGGATTTTCACAGAGTTATCCCTTGCATCCACAAGCTGATTTCTGTAGATTAGAACAGAAAAATTTTTGAAATATCTGAAGAATTCTAGAGCTGCCATCCATAACACCACTTTCATTTTTATAAAGTAAACACTGTTGTTGGATTAACCATTTCTTAGTTTCACAATTCAGTGAGTCTGAAAAAAATCACACTAAATCATATCAAAGCAACTGAATTATTTATGTCTTAGGAATACAGTGGGTAAGAGCTACCATGAAGAGAAGAAATGATAAAAGAAAGCAAACAATTACTGTAGTCTGAAAACTCAAAATCCATTCAGCATCCTTGTGGATCTGTTGACAAACAAGTCATACACTGCATTTGTAAAGGATGAATGGCTGCATTACTGATTTTCCTGAGATAATTCATGCATTTTTGGAGGAGGAATGGGCCCCTTCTGTGAAAAGCAAACAGGAAAAGTACAGACATTCCTATGTATTTTTAAGTGAAGAATCTGCAAAAGCAAGTGCATCCAGTAAAGACAGCTCATTAATAGTCAGAGGGACACCACTGAGCATGAATCCAATAATGCCTTCACACTTTGGATGTCTCTAATCATCTGGCAAAAGCAGTTTAAGGTAATATTTTAGTAAAGGCATGAAAGAAAAAGTTAATCCTTCATTCTTTACCCCTTTAGTAAAGTACTACCCATATTTTCAACGAAATACGGTTCTTGGGACAAAAGAGGGGTAAGATTTTTTGAGTTAGCCTCCCAATTTGAACCTTCAAGTCTAACATATAATATTCAGAAACCTATATTTCTTGCTATAATATACATTATTCCTTCAGTTTCTAGTGGCATAACTATCTACAAATAGATAAAGTATCCACTCTAAATTCACGTTTAGTGTCACCTTACCTGTTCCCACTCTCCTACATTGTTTCTTTAAATAGAGTTTCAGTTAGATTTTCTAAATTTGGGAATGAGACTGTTCAGAGTTGGACTTGAATGCAAAGTAGTCACCTGTCATTTAGCTAACACTGGACAAAAACCCTTTCTGAAAACCCAAGGAAAAAACATAACCAGAAATCATCACCTGCACTACCACTGCAATGTGGGTTAATTATCAGAAGGAAACACAGCTGAAGCACTTATTTCTTAGTGATTTCTTTTCTTCCCTTAATGTTCCATCACAAATCATGGCAACAATGGGTGGCAGAATGAAGTATTTTCTCGACAAATGTTGCTAAAAGCAAAGGAAAAGAGACCAACTTCTGTGAGCAACAGAAACCATTAGAGAAGACAATGCAGCTGGTTCTTTTAAAAAATATATTTACAAAACAGAATCACAGAATCACAGAATTTCTAGGTTGGAAGAGACCTCAAGATCATCGAGTCCAACCTCTGACCTAACACTAACAGTCCCCACTAAACCATATCCCTAAGCTCTACATCTAAACGTCTTTTGAAGACTTCCAGGGATGGTGACTCCACCACCTCCCTGGGCAGCCCGTTCCAGTGCCTCACAACCCTTTCAGTAAAGAAATTCTTCCTAACATCTAACCTAAAACTCCCCTGGCATAACTTTAGCCCATTCCCCCTCGTCCTGTCACCAGGCATGTGGGAGAACAGGCCAACCCCCACCTCTCTACAGCCTCCTTTAATGTACTTATACAGAGCAATAAGGTCACCCCTAAGCCTCCTCTTCTCTAGGCTGAACAAGCCCAGCTCCTTCAGCCGCTCCTCATAGGACTTGCTCTCCAGGCCCCTCACCAGCTTCGTCGCCCTTCTTTGGACCCGCTCAAGCACCTCGATGTCCTTCTTGTAGCGAGGGGCCCAAAACTGAACACAGTACTCGAGGTGCGGCCTCACCAGAGCCGAGTACAGGGGGACGATCACCTCCCTAGCCCTGCTGGTCACAGTGTTTCTGATACAAGCCAGGATGCCGTTGGCCTTCTTGGCCACCTGAGCACACTGCTGGCTCATATTCAGCCGACTGTCCACCATCACTCCCAGGTCCTTCTCTGCCTGGCAGCTCTCCAACCATTCCTCTCCCAGCCTGTAGCTCTGCTTGGGGTTATTGCGCCCCAGGTGCAGGACCCGGCACTTGGCCTTGTTGAACTTCATACAGTTGACCTCAGCCCATCGGTGCAGCCTATCCAGATCCTCCTGCAGAGCCTTCCTACCCTCGAGCAGATCGACACACGCACCTAGCTTGGTGACATCTGCAAACTTACTGAGGGTGCACTCAATGCCATCATCCAGATCATTGATGAAGATGTTAAAGAGGACCGGCCCCAGCACCGAGCCCTGGGGGACGCCACTAGTGACCGGCCTCCAACTGGACTTGGCTCCATTCACCACAACTCTTTGGGCCCGGCTATCCAGCCAGTTTCTAACCCAACGAAGCGTGCGCCAGTCCAAGCCAAGAGCAGCCAGTTTCTTGAGGAGAATGCTGTGGGAGACGGTGTCAAAAGCCTTGCTGAAGTCAAGGTAGACCACATCCACAGCCTTGAGGTGGAGGTTATGAATCTAATATCTATATAAAACCAGCAGGACCTTAGTATAATGAGGTCTCATCCAAACAAATTGCAGACTAAACGACATGGAATTCAATTTCTCTACTTCTGAAAGATGAAGGGCAAGTTGATCCTGCCAGGGATTCAAATTTGTGGTTTCACAGCTTCAAAATATGAACAGCATATCATTAAATAAAAGCCTCCTTAATGGCTAGATATCACATGGTTATCTGAGCTATTGTCGAAAAAGGAGGAAAAGACTGGATAATTTGTACCACATATTGCATATACACTTTACAGCATGGATCAGACATAGGCATTTGCCTGGAAAAAAAAAAAAAAAAAGAGGAAAAAATTGGCAAAATATGTTTATAAAGAATGAAAGGAGAAGTAAACAGCAAAATGACAGAAAGACAAAATAGTTAATTTCCTGTAATCAGTTGTCCCATTTGCCTAGAAGTCACTTCTGTAAATCATGAAGTATCTTTGCAGTTATCAGTGGCTAAATCTGGGCCAGATGAATAGCTATTGTAAATGACTTAATTTAGTAACATTTTGTCAATTCCCAGCAGGTCGGGATATCACTCACTGTCAGCTTATGTCCTGTGGGAAGCATGTTCAAATACTGCCATCTCTCAGGTGAAATTCACCAAGGCAATGGTCATAAAAGCCAGCCAACCTCACTGGTCAGGTTCATCCAAAAAATATTACGTTTTCATCATAAATCCTGGATCATCTGTTTACATGCAACAAAAGCAGATATAGAATCATAGCTTTCACCCACTGTGTAAGCTAGCAAAAACAATTACTTCTGTTCACATAGGGTAGTAACTTTCTCTTCCAGGCTAATTAAGTGGAAAGCTTTTGCTCGGATTTGGTTCCTCAGTTTAAAATTGAAGGCTGAAATGAGCAGGGTATCCTTGCAATTTCCACAGCAGACCATTTTTCTGCATGTAATCCATTACTGCAAATCTGAACAATAATTTAAAGCAGTGATAATCACCCATAGCATTGACCCTAGAGATCCTTACAGCAACACAAATGAGATCAAAGGACTAATGAAAGTCTGTTAATCTCTCTAAGCATGAGTTCAGTCTAATCTTAACGTTTCTGTCTTTTAATCCTCTATAAATCTGTTTTTAACTTTGCTTAACATTTACCATCCATTTTCATGCCCTAATCTTGGAAAAAAAATAAAGAAACAGCATACATCTAGGTGTCCATTTGAGCATTTCTCCACATGGATATTTTTCGGTATGAAATACTATCTCTTGCCAGGTATTGGAGTGGGAAGTAGATGAAAGGGAGAAGTAGGTGTCTGCTATGCAATGAGGGATTAAGATTGATGAATGAAGTGCAGAAATATTCCTTGCTGATAGCTTTTATGAGCAAAATATTTGAACAATAACTTTGAAAAACATTTCAAAGTAAGATCATCAGGAACAGCAATCTCCTTTCACAAAAGAATTTACCCTGAATTGAAAACAAATACTCATCAGGAGATGATATGTACACTCCTGATATCCTGGCCTGTTCAGCATTAACTGAGTTCCCCACCTTATTCATAGCATGAAGAAAGGAAGGGTTGGGGGAATCTTTTCAATCAGCAGTACTTCAGTTACCTGGCATTTGATCACAGCTAGCTATTCCTTTCCACCTTGCCAGCCTCATGTCATAGATCTTAGCTTCCAAAAGACTTATTAATGAGGTCCTATATATCTTTTTTTTCTGTAATGCAACTATCACTCATAGATATTTTGAAGTTATGTCAACATTTTTATGTTACACAGATTTGTGTATTTTGGGATATTGATTACTTTCACCATTAAGCGTTATTATTTGCTAACGTGTAGTTAATAACAATGGAAAAGCTTTTAAACTGCTCTGAGGATTAAACTGCTAGTAGTTAACTGCTTGATTTGCTAATGGATACAGTGTAAGATTTAATGTTTTGGTCATTTACATTATTTACCAGAAGAAAACAGACAGTCCTTTAACTACTTGTACTATAAACAATGGTAAATCATATTTAAGTTGATTGATTTCTGCATATACATGTATATTAACATAGGATTTTAAAAGACAAAATGTCTTCATAATACAAGCCATCATGTTCAACTACAGCTGAATATATAGATTTATTTTTCCTTAAAAAGAAGAAACAATATCCATAGTGTTTGAATTTGAGTTACTCTCTCATGTGATGTTAAGTTAGAAAAAAATTCAATTCTGTCCATAATTACCAGAGCTTCACTGATTTACATCAGCCATTGCTCTAGCGCCATGTATCTGATAGGACTGGAGATCTTTGTTCAAATACATCCAGACATACAAAAACTTCTAAGGATTACATTATATGCCCTGTATTCACTCTGAGAAATACTTTTGCCCCTAATAAATTAATGAACATCGGCTGACAGCAATGGTGGAACTGACACCACACAGGCAACTCATGGACATTTTCCTTTTCATTTCAGTCCTGCCTTCCCTCTCTCACAGCTATTCTAGCAACCACATCATGAGAATGAACTTATAAGACATTAAAAGCCTAGCATATAACCCATTTTAACCATCCCCAGTAATTTCCAGTTAGGATTTAAAAGTCCCAAGGACAAGGTTCTTCACTGAGAGGGTTGTTGGCACTGGAACAGGCACCCCAGCAAGTAGTTTAAATGGGCAATTTTAAATTATACATTTACATGCATCCAACCTGAATTTTTAAACATGTGATTTTAGCTTATAAAACTCTAAAGACTTGGGGTTTTTACCCCAAACACTATTTTGTGCAGTATTTTATAAAATCAGTAGCACGTGTCCCTGTGGAAGTTTACCACAAAGATTTTACAGAACAGGTACATTTTAATGCTAACTTCCTACAGGCCTGATCATTCTGCCACAGTCGTGTTAAATAATGCTTTACTCCTCAAGAAATCCCACTGATATCCATTGGAACTATCCAGAGATCATACCACTGTTCAGCATGGGCAGGCAATGAGTGAATCAGGGACAGATTTTCAGCTGGACAAAGAGAGCAAAGATCTCAGGAAGTACTCTCCTAAGATGACCCTCTGTTAGCCCAATGGCTGTCTAAACTGCTGAGGTGTAAATGAAAGACAGAGCTGATGTTCCATAAACTGCTCTCTCTTACAGAAGGGGTCACATTTAGAAGCTGAGAATTGTTACCCTGATTTGATTTACTGACATTGTGAAACAGATTCATGAGCGTTCATAATCAAAATGATTAAAAATTACTGCCATGAATGCTAAAGTAATCAAGTCCACAAAATGCACCACAAAAAAACTATTACTTAATCCACAACGCATATGCAGTCTGGAAAGTGATATTTTTGTTGTCTGAATGGTAGTTGCAATACAACATTAAAATCACAAACCAAGCACTCTCATTAGTTGAATGGCTAACATAAATAGAGTTAAATGTAAGAACTGGCATTTCACAGAAGTCTGTTATGTAAACAAAATCAGCAAAGGTCAGAGAAGCATCAAGGAGAATTAAATAGGTCATCTGTAATTCTCTTTGTGTTTTTTGTTTTGTTTTGTTTTTAAATAAAGGATCTTACCTCATCAGGGAGAAGAAAAAAAAAAAAAAGACCAAAAAAAAAGAAAATATTTAAGATCATTGATAGGAATTGAGAAAAAAAAGCAAGAAATATTTCACTATAAAGCTTTCAGGCACTACACCAATTACTCATTTGGATAATAACAGAACCCTGAGTCCCAGACGTGCACCACCTTTCTCCTTGCTCTGGTGTCCTTTGAAAGGTGAGCTAGGTGTACAGGCAGAGATAAAGGTATGGTGTACTCCACCCATTGCTCCCTGAAGGTTCCAATAACTCCAGAACCAGAATTCAGTTCACATTCAGACCATCTTGCCTTGCAGGAAGGATGCAGCCAGGAAGCATACATGTGGACCTAAGACTGGAATGTGCCATGGAGTAAACCACAGTGCCCAAAGATTCACAAATCCAATGATTTTATGAGTTAACAATTGCTTCCCCATTAAGCCAGATGGAGAAATGTGGGAAGTATACTGCTGGATATTGGTGTGGCAGGTTTGTGTTCCAATGACTAACATGATCTCAAGTTTCTTCGGGATGTAATATGACAATGTAGAAGAACATCCGACTTCAGGATCTATTGTAAGTTTGGGACAGTGCCCAGCTATCTTTGGCTTCCAGCTTGGTTTGGCTGAAATTGCTAGCTCTAATTTTGGCATCTGAAAGTCAAGTTTATCAAAGCAGTTCTTGCCCTTGGTAACAGCTGTGTAACATTACTGCCATCAAATAATTTGGGTCTTCTTGCAGCCCTTAGAGCTCTCAGTTACTTCACATGGCTTTCAGCTGCCATTGCATTTGGCCAGCAATTCTATTGATTATGCACAATGTTGGCAATTTGCATGAACTTATTCCAGTTTGTTCTGCCAGGGGGCAAAAGGCCTAATGTGTCAATCATGATTAAAATATTTGGTTAAAAAAGTAAAGAAATTCAGTATAAGTTATGGGACTCAAGGCTTTAAATTAATACAGGCATTCTTTTAATACAGTACACCAATAAAATTATTAAAAAAAAACAAACAAACAAACAAACAAACAAACAAAAAAAAAAACACTTCTAAATGCAAGTAAATATGTTCCCCCGAAGTCATAGAACAGAAGGGAGGTCTTAAATCATGGGAATGAACTATGGAAATAGCATAAACTAATCCATTTGAGCCTGAAGTTAATTATGGCACTGGAACTGTCAAAAATTCATCTGAAGCACTTACTGCCTAAATTGAAGGTTGGCTATCCAAATTGAAATGTCATTTTTATTAGTCTACAACACTTACAGAAATAGCCTCTTCTTTTCTAGTAGGCTGTACCCATTAGCTCTAATGGAGTTATGCACATACATCACATGCATGTACATCACTCTACGCTGCTTTAACACTCACTGTCACATTAGACAATGGTTTTGTCATCCCCCTCCCTCCCAGTATAGTAGATTCCAAGATGACGGCATACCTGACATCATTCTCTGAAGTCACTACTGGCCACTTCACTACTTTACGTTGACAGGCATTCTAGGATAAAAAGTTTGGCTCATCATACAGATCTAGAATAACACCCTTGATTTGATTACATCTGATAAGAGATGGTTCATTTAGTAGTTACACTAGATATGTGTATATATCTATATACATACATGTATATATTTGTATATGTGTATATGCATCAGACAACCTGGCATCAGGGAGCAGCAAGAGGAGGACTCTTCCAAGAAGGTGAGCACACCAGTAGCCATGAGAAATTACAACACAAGCAATTCCTCACCAGCCAGAGCACAGTCCCATAAGCACAGTTCACAGAGCCAGGAGCTGATAACTTGATTTCTCAACAGTTTCATACAAAACAAGATGATGAAGCAAATCTGGAGTACCCATCTCAAAGCAGTAGAAGATTAAGCTAGAGATGAGACTGGAGACAGAACTACAATACAGGCCCAAGGACCCCCTAGGAAACAAATGCAGACGCAGACCTAGAGGCAGGCACATTTACAGCATAGCTTACACAAAAACAGAAGGCTCAGACCCAAGCTAAATGGAGCTCCTGGGTCACACAAAGAGAGTGTGGAGTCGAAAGTCCAGGTGAGTCTGGTCAGTGCCATTCAGAGCTACATTACTGCACTTAGTGTACTGACATCTGGTTCAGAAAGTGAGCTTTAAAATGACTCACCAAATAGACTTAAATCCACTGATGCAAAGCCAGAAAAGATCATATCTCAAATTTTGACCAAATCTCAGATATTATTAGAGATATTCTATCAGTTTTTTTGTTTGTTTGTTTGTTTGTTTTTTCCAAGAACTGCTGAAGAGCAGAAATGTAATTCCTATTTTCCTGATAGGCAGTTTAGTCTTAGAGAATCAGATAAATTGCCTGCAGTCATTTAGGAAAGCTGCTGCAGAGCCAAGCCTAAAAATAAGGTTATAGCTCCCTGTTAAGGAGCTGGTTGTCTTCTTGGAACAATAGGAATTTGGTCTCTCTTGGGAACTCTGCATGCCTCAATGGTAATGGTAATTGTATTTCAGTGTAATAACATGTAAAACAGAAAGACAGAAATGCTGTTTGTTTTTTTGTTTGTTTGTTTTTGTTTTTTAAATTGGCAGGTGGCTGAAAACAGCTTATCAAATACTTTTTTGTTTGTTTGTTTGTTTTGATTTTCAAGTGTGCTTGCTAGGAAAACTGGATTTTTTTTTTTTCCTGTTATTTGGATTTCAGAATCACTATACTCCTAACAACCATGCTTTTTTATAAACTTGAAATTTGGGTTATAAGAGACCAACAATTACAGAAATTAAAGTGCTATAAATAATCATTAAAAACAAGGAAAACCTGATCCAATGAGCCTTCTGTCTTCTACAAGTTTTATTCTTATCCATTGGGTGGAAAGGATAATACTGGGGATCAGCCAAGAGATGAACAGGAGTAACTACCACAGGGAAAGGGCAGAAACAGAAATAAAAATTACAAAACAAAAAGGTCTCTGAATTATCCTGGGAGGTATATAGATAGGTGGCTGAAACACTCATTCTATGATGGTATTAGCTCTATTTTTTTCCTTCTCTCCTCTAAATAAATAAATCCAAAGTGAGCTCAAGCCAATATTTCAGATGGCCGAGATGGCTACTGACAGCAGTGTTATCAGAGTATCTCTGTTTCCTGGTCTGTCTTGTAGTAAAAAAGCAATAATTAGGAACATCCTACCTGAAAGAAAACCTGGGTAGAAACAGAGTGCAAATAGCTCAACGGATGAACTTATTTATTTATTACAAACTCCAGTTGATTTTGATATTTCATACATTAAATACTTGGTTTATACACAAAACTAATGTGCTTTATATTATATATTGGACTTCAGACATTATTGCTTTCAGCATTATAGTGCATGTTAGACACAGATCTCTCAGTTAAATTAGATTGATTTTGGCAACCCTCAGTTGAAGTCTAGCAACATAAAACTCCATTGCACTCTTAGGGGCAGGATGATTCCATCTTCCAGTTTGTCTGGATACTATATCATACTAGAAAGGCATAATGAAAATGATAACATCATCTTCATGCCCAGTTTAAAATCTTGTTTTGTATAGCAGAACACAGAATTTAGAACTATAGTTTTGTATATTAACTGAGCTGCACAGGAAACTTGAGGTTGTTTCTGGGTGATCTAGATCAATTCTTTTCTCTCTAGCTGAGCAATCTGAAGAAGTAACCATCTATACTGTCAGTCAACACAGGCTATTCTGCTTTTGGTTGTGTACAAACAGGATGTCACATCTCAGAAGACCAAATCCACAGAGGAGGATTATAACAAAACACACTATGAACCTTGCCTTTATTAAGCTTTGTGCCTTTTGTTATGATCCCATAATGCTTTACATTATTGATCTGGCATTCCTGGCAGCAATCTATCAATAGCAAATTAAGTTGAATCTTTTCCACTGAAGAAAAGGGTGACTAATTACCAGACATGTTCAAATAGCTCTTGCAGTGAACAAATTCTTGCACTTAGATTCCATATTTTATTAATGTTGGGATCCAATCTACTATATACCCAACAAATCATGTAGAGTTCCAAGCAAGAAGCAGAATTATACATATTGTAATATCCACCTCAGTCATCTCAGTTCCTCTTATTCAGAGAACAGGTGGCAATGAAAACTGATTTCAAGTAGTTATGTTTAATCCCTGCTAAGTGTTTGTCAGAATTTACTGTAGTTGCTATGTACTATAGTAACACCAAATACCAATTTTCTAAAGACTTTTATAAAAATCAGGTTAGAATGCTTTCACCTCTGGAGCAGTTTGAAATGCAGAACACTCCAGCATAGTCAGATAGGCTGCTACAAAAAAAAGAATGGAAGAGAGCCACTCATGGAGCTTGGAGGTTTCATCATTTTCAGGACATCAGTGGGAGGTGGAAAGGATTATTTAGGTATGACAAAACAACCTTACTTTAAGACTGAGGTCATCAGGTGAGAACTGCTTATCCCTGTTTCCAGCTGCTTTGAAAAATAGGCTCAGGTGCTTGAATTGCAAATTTACTTTGTGGGCATGTGGTCATACATAATGCAATATTGCTGTCCCTAAACCTGTAGAATACAAGGCACATGAGACAAAAACTTTAAAGCTACACAATGGGAAATTAACAAAACTCACTCTCATTCTTATCACAACATCACTGTGATATATAGCCTCTTTTAAAGCACATACTCTGCTCTGTAAGTGGGAATTATATTAGCAAATGCAAATGTATAGGAGTTATGATTTCTGCCTGCGATATCTGCCCTGCTGGAGGGTTCATGTGCATGTCACTTCTCTGGAATCTGGAAAATAACCACCCAGTGGTGTATGTCCTTACATTGCCACCAGTAGAAATTCAAATGAAGCTTGCATGTCTTGTTTCCAGCCAGATATGAACTTCATTTCACTGGGATGCTCTGAAGTGTCTATACTGCACAGAAGAGGTCAGTGGAGGGGGAAAGAGCCACAAAAAGTTCCAGTTTTGCAGGTAACGCTGAGTTATGTTTTTAATGCACTTACTTGTAAGACATTCTACATTTAACTGACCTGCCTTTTACCCAGCCTTTTACAACATGTGATGGCATTGCTAAAACAGACCAACTGAGAAAGAATCAACAGCTTGCTTTGCAAAAATGTTAGTAAATCATTTTAGGGTTGAAAGAAGCTTTTATATTAATGAAATGGCTTTGTATTACAAACCCAATCTGGATAACCTACTTAATCTCTTGTCATCTTAATTCATGAATTTATAGGATGAATACTCAAAGGTCTGTTGCCCTTGCCTGAAAGTTTTAATTCCTTTCTAAGTGTATCAATATCATACATCTGAAATCAATCAGAAATAAAAATACAATGTACCCCAAATTTTTTATACAAATAGAACCTGAAAGTATATATCTTAAGCATGTTATGTATTTTCCTATTGAATATCATTCCAAATATTAAATATATCATAATGCCCTACAGTTTAGTTAATGTGATTCATATTACTTAGCACTTTACATGCAGATTTTTTCAAAGGGAATTTGAAAACAAGGATAATCCTCAGACGTGTCAGTTAACATTATTTAATTTGTATAATGTCCTTAAAATGCAGTTTAGAACACTTTTCTCTTTCAGTACAAATATCTTGGGGATGACAAGCAACTCTGAAAATCAAGAGAAAACATACAGTAAGGCCTACCATTTACAGCCTACACTGTCTACAACTCAGAAAATTTCACAGTTGTTCTAGTTGTGTACCTCTAGCTCAGTAATTTCACTTATAATTTTTTTTGCTATTCCAGAATCTGTAATCCAGCTGGAGGTTTCAAACTACCTTCAACTACAGCCATGGTGAATACAAAGCTATATATACATGGTTTTTCTGCAAATGAATTTATTTTTTCTCATGCAATAAAAAGGTTTTCAAAGGAACAATATTGATCTCTTCAATTCCCAAAGATAAACATTCTTAGGCATACTCAAAAGAATCTTCCTTTATATTGGAAGTTCATTCTAGGATAACACTTTTTATCAGGTTTTCTATGTTTGTTGTTGTTGTTCTGTTTGTTTTTGTTTGTTTGTTTTTGTTTTTGTTTTGCTTCTGCCATAAGACAACTTTGTCATGCACCGCTAAGGCTATCACAGCTTCCAATTGCAATGTATTGTTGACTTATTTATTTATTTTTGTTGTTCTTGCTATACTGTCGATGCAGGTAATACTTCAACAGTTTTCTCAGCCAGTACCAACAGAGAGCTGGCTCATTTAAACTCTCTTTGAATTGTATCCAATTTGGCTGCAAGGCTAGATTTCTCATAGCATTACACAGGTCAGCTAAAGACCAATTTCTGCTATGGAGCTCTGTTTCCTTCTAGTTCTCTCTTTCATATGTACATCAACATATCATTTATATTTCTGCTAAATTCAGCCAGAGCTACATCACATACCAGTTGCATTTTCATACTTTCTAGGATCCTTCTGTATTTTCATGTGTAAACAACCTGATGTTATACTGATTGCAATGGTATCTACAAGCTTTATGCAAGACTTAGCTGTAAGAAGACTGACCGAAGCAGCCTATTTAAAATATAAGATCTTGTAAAGAATAATTCTTAGAGTGCAAAAGCCAATAATAACTAATAGATTGGGGTGACACAGAGCAGGAATGTAGGACCTAATGCAGCACAGAACAAAATGGATGGAGATACTTAGAAAGGACACCCTCCGGTAGTGATATTCCAAGGGAATTTAATTCCTCCTTTTGTCAAATGGAGTTCCTTTCCAATTTCTCATCAGGCCAAACATGGACAGCAGTTTCAATAGGATACCATAATATTTTTCAATCCCCTTTTTATCATTTCTGATGGTAAATGCTAGCAGTATATAAATGTTTGCTGTATCGCACTTTCTTCTATCTGAAGATGTAAGGAGTAAATCAAAGCTGGAGGTGAGGATGGTTACTGGGTTTTCTTAGAAAGGCACTCAATATATCACCAAAATTACCAATGTGGATCTCCTGAGAGTTACTTGCAAGTATTATACTTTGTTGTATGTGTTTATTCAATCACTTTATGGCTCTAGGTCAGATAAGCAATGAAAGGCAAGTTAGAAACCTTGTTGATATCATTTTACATAACCTTTTTTATTCATTTTCAAGCAGATGAAGATCTAGTCTACAATCTTCACAGCATTTTTGAGAAGAATCAGATTGAACTTCAAATTGTCCTAATAGTCCCATCATTTTACCATTCTTTAATTGTCCAAATATACTTTTGTGTTCATTTGCTTCCTGAAATAGATGAAAATGATTAACTTGTTGAGGGATTTCTTGAAACAGCAAAAATCCCATGGCTTGCTGTAGCTGAGCAAACCAAGCTACCAGGGCAACTATGAGAAGTTCCCATGACAGTGTTCCCACATCGCCCAATTGAGGGATTCAGAAAAATATTGTTACCAGTAGCTGGCTTCAAGGACAAGGTCTATGTGACTGCTAATCACAAGGGGGTTGTTTTCTTGCAGGTGGGGTTGTTTTCTTGCAGTTGTTTGTCTGAGTGCTTTTGACCAATAATCTTGTGTGAAACACTGTCCACCCCTGTTAAGTTCTCTATAAAAGTTAGGCTATTCGGGCAATAAAATGGAGCATGATCTGACCCTACTGTGTGTCTGTCGTGCTTTCGGCCGTGCTTCCTGCAACATATGGCGCCCGAACAGGCTGAGACCTGAACAGGGCCTGAACACGACATCGCAGCGGGAGACCTGAACAGGACCTGAACAGACATCGCACAGGAGCAGGACATCGCAGCACCGGAGCAGACATCGCAGCCGAGCACGGACATCGCAGCGGCGCCGGGGCAAACATCGCAGCGCAGCGGGACACCAGCGGCGCCGGCAGCTCCGAACGCAGGTAGACCAGGAGACCAGCGGCGTCGGGACCAGCGGCGCCGGGACATCGGCGCGGCGCCGGGACCAGTGCCGCCGGGGACCAGCGCCGGGGTCACAGCGCCGAGACTGAGACATCGGAGCGGCGCGGGACATCGGAGCGCCGTCGGGACTTCGGAGCGCCCATCCGACCGGCGCTTGAGCAGACCGGACACCGGCCCGGAAACACGGTACACAGGCCTCACGGTGAGACGCGGTACTCCCGCTGAGAGACGCGGAAAACGGTGGGAAACGGGGTTTTGCGGCGGGACGTGGAATTGCGGAGGGCCGCGGGAAAAAGAGTTGCGGCGGGACGTGGAATTGCGGAGGGCCGCGGGAAAAAGAGTTGCGGCGGGACGTGGAATTGCGGAGGGCCGCGGGAAAAAGAGTTGCGGCGGGACGTGGAATTGCGGAGGGCCGCGGGAAAAAGAGTTGCGGCGAGACGTGGAATTGCGGAGGGCCGCGGGAAATTGACGTGATCACGGTGTGATGCGGGACATCCGAGATCGAGCTGCTATGGGAGACCAGAGGCATCAGCGGACAACGGCAGCCGACTCTCACCGTGTGGCGAGTCGGCACAGAGCAGAGGGGCGGACATCAGGACCCTGCAGCCTGTCTGACGTAACCATGGAGGCAGCGGCGGCTGTGCTGCTTCTCTTTGGCATTTTTTTTATAAGAGGTTTATCTTGCAATGCAAAAAAGACTATTCGTCCCCAGATCGGTGTTATAACTATGTTTCTGGATAACATTCCGTGGGGTTGCCTCAGTCTACGGACTATTAATGACGATTTAGCTCTATTGCAGGGCAGGAGTGCAGAGACGCAGATTACACTGCCAAATGACCACCGGCAGGCTCGTTCACAAACAGCTTCTAGGATTGCAGCTGGCACTGCCTGCAGCCATATAGCAGACGTTACACTCTCTTTCCTAACTAGTAATCATGTGTCTTATCCATTTGTGGTGAATGGTCAGTGGCAAAAAGAAAAGGGGGAGAGTAAGGGGCGGCAAAGACAGAAACGGTACCAGGAGGATGCCACTGACACTACTAGCACGGGTAATAGGAGTAGTATAAGTGACATAGGTGCAGGGCGGCGGCAGGCACTGCCGCGCTGTGGGGCATTCTGCCTGCTGCTCGCCCTCACCTGCCTGTGCACTGCTGCCGACAGTGCTAGAGCAAAATGTGAAGACTGCTCAGACGGCAGTGATGAGAGTGCTTGTGTGAAGAAGACGTGTGCTGAATCTGACTTTGTGTGTAACAGTGGTCAGTGTGTGCCAAACAGATGGCAGTGTGATGGGGATCCGGACTGCGAAAATGGGTCTGATGAGATTGCTGATCTGTGTTATATGAGAACATGCCAGGTAAATGAAATCAGCTGTGGTCCTCAGTCAACCCAGTGTATCCTGGTGTCCTGGAAATGTGATGGTGAAAAAGACTGTAACAGAGATCCTGATTGCAAGGATGGAAGTGATGAAATTAACTGCCCTTCTCAGACCTGCAGGCCAGACCAGTTCAGATGTGAAGATGGGAACTGTGTCCACGGAAGAAGGCAGTGCAGTGGTGTGAGAGACTGTCTGGATGGCACTGATGAAGCAAACTGTAACGATGTTATTCAGTGCTCAGGACCTGGCAAATTCAAGTGCAGAAGTGGAGAATGCATAGATACCAATAAAGTGTGTAACCAGCAGAGAGACTGCAAGGACTGGGGTGATGAGCCCCTGAAGGAATGCAACATATATGAATGTGACTGTCCAGCTGGGTTTGACTTTGTAGAAAAGAGAAACTGTGGAATTGATGAATGTCAAAACCCTGGTATCTGTAGTCAAATCTGTATCAACCTGAAGGGTGGCTACAAATGTGAACGTAGCCGTGGCTATCAGATGAATCCTGCTACAGGAACTGGGAAAGGGCCATACCGGTACAAAAACACAAATAACACCTGTGATTACAATGATGCTGCTAAGCAGGGTTTAGGGGTTTGTAGCATGGAGACAAGGGGTAACAACTACAGTGTTTGGAACAATTGTGCAGCTTTGGCCTTACCTCCTGATGTGCTTCTGATTTGTGGGGATGGGGCCTGGCAAGGTATCCCTGCAAATGCTATCAGATGTCCATGTTACTTAGATAAACTCATTGTATTTGCTCCTAGCTTGTTACAGTTGCGTGAGATCACCAGACATAAATGGGCATTGCTTGCATCGGATTGCAATGATAATGTTGAATTGTGTGGGGTTGCAGCTAGAGCGGCATTAGCAATTTCAGTGCCTGGAGTGGCATCTGCGGCCACATGTAACAACTTAGAAAAATTGGAATGCTGGGCCGAGAGGCAAGCCTATGCCATGACAGAGATACTTGAGGAGATGTTACCAGATCAAAATAGTCTGCGACATCTGCTTTTACAGGATCAAGCTGCTATTGACATCTTGCTTTTGGCTCAAAGGAATGGGTGTGAGGACTTTAAGGGAATGTACTGTTTAAACCTTTCTGATCATAATGAGTCAATTCACAAATCCATTACTTTCCTGAAAGAGCATATGAGAAAGATTCAGTATGGTATCAATCCTTTCAATCAATGGTTCACTGACTTGTTTGAAACAAGGTGTAGATGGTTGCTGGGTTTAGTCACAAGGGGATTAAGGATTTGGGTTATGGTGATGGTAATCATCGTTGTGTGTTGTAAGTATAGCTAAAGAGTCACTTGTAAAACTGCTGTGTCGGGCTTGGTTTGCTCAAAAGAAGAAGGGGGAATTGTTGAGGGATTTCTTGAAACAGCAAAAATCCCATGGCTTGCTGTAGCTGAGCAAACCAAGCTACCAGGGCAACTATGAGAAGTTCCCATGACAGTGTTCCCACATCGCCCAATTGAGGGATTCAGAAAAATATTGTTACCAGTAGCTGGCTTCAAGGACAAGGTCTATGTGACTGCTAATCACAAGGGGGTTGTTTTCTTGCAGGTGGGGTTGTTTTCTTGCAGTTGTTTGTCTGAGTGCTTTTGACCAATAATCTTGTGTGAAACACTGTCCACCCCTGTTAAGTTCTCTATAAAAGTTAGGCTATTCGGGCAATAAAATGGAGCATGATCTGACCCTACTGTGTGTCTGTCGTGCTTTCGGCCGTGCTTCCTGCAACATTAACTCTATGTTGAAACCAAGGCAGGAGTTCTTAAGAAAATCCAGGTGTAACTTTCACATCTACTAGCTGTTTGAGACAGCAAGTTTTACAGTTTATGCTTTGTGCAGTGTATGGGATTTACCATTCTTTACTCCATCAATAGCAAAATCACACCACATCACTTCTTTTATTTCATACTCCATCTGCTCTGCAATGTCTCAAACTTCCCCAGTGCACCCCAAACTTCTACACTTTGCCGGGCCTTTTCTTCAGAATTACTAAGTCACATTCATAGAGACTTTGCACCCTGGGCAGTCAAAAGAATTAGAAATATATAGGCTCACTTTCTTCACTGCTGAACCCTTGTCTGTGGCTCTTTTGAGTTTTCCAAAAGGTCCTCCTGAGCAGCAGATAAACAGTGAACTCTTCCTGCTGACTTCCTGACCAGTTTAGTATCCTTATTTAGGTAAATCCAAAAACACTAAGACTGAAAAAAAAAATGTGCATTGGGGAAGAAGTTATTCTGGAAAAGACTCTGTCATACCTAACTGTACAGAGTCATCATTTCATAATCTCTTATGACTCTACATAACCAGATATTAGTATACGTAATTCTGTGAATTACATGGTAATTCTGCATGACTTCTCAAAGCAACAAAACCTAATTTGAACAAGAACTAAGTATCAAATTCACAGCTCAATTTGGGTTAGCAGATGCAGCCACAAAACTAACCGTCCACTCCTTTGGGATCAGGAAATGCTTATGGCACTACAAAATCATCAAGAAAGGTTGAAGCAAATTGAAGCAAATACTTCACTGAAATTAAATAGTACTTTGGTACTCAGTTCTTCTTACTCTTCTGAGATTTGTGACCAGCTCTGGCAACAATCTTTTTCACTCCATTTACATTTTATTTTGACATCATCTCAAGCTTCCTTCACAGTCATAAAATATTTTGCATATTGTTTTCCCACTGCATTGGGAGACAAAACTTTGTAAATTGGTGTAACGTGAATTTTGAAGTAGTTCATGCTGCTAAATGTTATGACTTTAATTGAACTTTCTGGGAGGCACATTATTCCACTTCTCAACATTGTTTTCCCAAGACACCTTTGGTCTAAAAACAATTTAGATATGAAACTCAGTTTGCTTCCCAGACTTCTAGATTCATCATTTAGTTTCAGAACAATAATATCCCAATGGTTACAACCTCTTCTACTTCAATAAACTGTCTTCTACATACTTCTGATACATTCTGTTCAAGTTAATGAGTTAAATTCCTTGACCTTGCTCCTCTTGGTGATGATGAGAAGACAAATTGCCAGCTCTGTGTTTCTTCCAGTCCAGTCTCTTCTTACATTCCAATGTAGTCTGCACAGTTC